ATGCATGGAAATGAAATGAGTTGTACGTCCTACTGCTGTGCTCTGGTAAATACAGACAAGCAATGTGTTGATCAGGGAACAGTCATTGGCGTAGGAAACGGGACAGGCGTGGCAGCGCCCCAAAAAAAACTTGCTTCAGACTCGCGCCAGCGATGCTCGGAGTCGTACATCAAAATTTTCGGGTAAAACAGTCTGCTCCTCGCACCCCCCCCCCCCCTCCCTTTTTTGGGAACAGTCATTTGGCAATGTGGAATTTGTCTACTCTTTCGTATTCCATCGATTTCCAACTATCGAAGGATCTTAAACATACAGACCTCAGCTTTCCTTTTAAAAATAAATGCCCCACCGTAACCAATGTATTTGCTACTTTTTTTCATATTTCAGACCAAGGTTAAACACTGATGGTAAAATTGGAGAATCTCCGTCCACAGTCAGTTATAAAAAACCAGGTAAAAATAGAATTGAAGAAATCCAAATAAAAGCTAATTCTGATAAGTCGACGCTCAATATGTTTAACAAAGAACAGAAGACAGAGCGACCAAATGATGGTCCGACCAAACGAGTGAATAAAATCAAAGAAGTGTCAAATTCGATCACTAAAACGCAAGAAATGAAAGAGAAACAATTTAAACCCAATTCCCCTCGGCCTCGAACGTTTGAAATCATCAAAAACAGAAAAACTTCGGAATTGTTTAAAGAGATAGACTCTCAGGAATCAAAAACGTTTTCTCTTAAACCATCCCATTGTGTAGTTTTAAACCGGAAAAGTTGTGTCGGGCCCAAACACCATCAACTAATCGGTAAGAACCAGAAAGTAACTCGAGAAGACGCGTGTTACCCAGTGGAAGTTACCCTCAAACCCTTGGGTCGTTTCGTCAATGAATTAATCCTTCCCAAACACGACATGCATCCGTTTGAATTAGAGACATTGTATGATCCTGATTTTGTGGATTTGAATCAAACAGCCAGTGTGACAAATTCAGTGGCGGTTTTACTGGAACCTCAAAAACTGTTTCGAGTTGGTGACGTCATTAAAGTCAGAATCGATCTCTTTAACGGAAGTGGAAAACGCAGACGAATTGGCGGTGATGACGTCAGAGTGTGGATGAAATCTAAGGGAGAATATTCTCGGGTTAATGGTTACGTCACTGATTTAAAAAACGGAAGTTACGTGGCTAATTTTAATGCTTTGTGGGAGGGCGAGTCGACAATTTATGGAACTTTACCTAATACAAGGGAGGCAATCGCTTCCATGTTTAAATGGTACAGACAATATAAAAGTTTATATTATTATTTGGGATATTTTGAAAAGGGAAACGTCAAGGAATTAACGATGTGTTCCGCGTTTTCCCAGATACCCGGATATGACGTAGTGTGTAATTTTACCGCCATTAATTTCAATCATCAATTTTATTGTGGTTGCCCACAGCAACAGTCTTTGACATGCAGCCATTTTGTCTCATTATCCGATTTGGATTATACATACATAGCTTTAACTAAAGCTGAGTTTTCATACTTTAATAGGTAGGTTTTATGTACCGTATAATTTAGAATATAATACGCTTTGTCCGCTATACGCACATTTCAAATTTTCGATCGCAATGTTTTATTGTTGCCATATCACAATGTTCGACTTCGTGACGAAATTATTTATTGCGGTCTGAAATATGAACTCATATACAGAGTTAGCCTTTCCTGACTTTTCATTTCATATCTCGTACAGAGTTAATTTGAGTTGGTCACATGAAATCAAGATAGCTTGAAAAGAACCCAGGGTTACATACGAAAACTTCCACAAATTTTTAATGAAAATGAATTTGCCCTGGAATTCAAAGGCAACGACATAATTGTTTTTTATTCTTCTTCTTTTTCAGAGACGTAACGTTTCGACCTTTCAAGTCAAAAACCAAGTTAAAGGTCTTTAAAGGTAAAATCTCCATATAAATTCATTTAAATGATGTTTTTTCTCCGAATAATTTAATTAAATTTCTGTTTTTATTGAATAATCTTTTTTTTCATATTTTTTTTTCACATTTCTTGCAGGTAATAATAACCCTAGAGCAAATTTAAGAAATTGCAGCGAGCTTCCGGTGAGAGAAACATGGGATATTAAAACGCCTCCTGGATATTATTCTGGTAGAGAGTTAAAACCATTGAAATGTGAAAATCGTTTAAACGACGACTCCATAAATCAGTGTTTGAGGAATACGACTTTATTTCTGTACGGTGATTCGACTATTCGAAGTTGGTATTCGGTTCTTCTCAAAAGATATAAATGTACCATAAAAGTGGAAGGATACAAATGGTATTTTTATTCCGAGTGCCATAAAAAAGAGATTAATTCGACTTTAATATGGGCACCACAAAGTTTCCCATTTCTCTTAGGTGGTGTCGGGGACAGTGGAAATTTAAAACTGAAATCCGTGGAGATTTATTTAAATGAAATTCCATCAAACTCAAAAACTATCTTTGTTATCCATTTGTATGCGCATTTCATTCGACAACATTATTCAGTGTTCAGGAACCATATTCGTTCACTTAAAATTCCCCTCAGAGATGCTTTAAAGCGAAATAAAGGACTAAAAATAGCCATCAAAGGTCCACATATATTTTACGCGACGGTGTGTCCAACGGCAATAAACGATTATTTTGGTAAACTATATACAGATATTATATTGACAGAGCTAGCGGAGTTTAAAGACTCTGTTTGGTTTTTAAATTACTGGGATACGACCACAGCCATTGAAAACGTTCAACTACATCCGGGTGAATTCGTTGTTGAGGAAGATATTCGTTATTTGTTGGGGTTTGTATGCAGATGATTATTGACTTATCTGAATTCTATTATTGTGTCTTTATGCAGTTTGAATGCGATAATGTGTATGAAAGGAACTGTATGATTTTGATTTCGAATGAGAATGTGTTATTAATCCCGGCATTATTATCAATGTAACCGTGTGATTCTAGTATTCCTAATCAAATAGCAAATCTAGCTCACTGGTCGATCGAATTAACCAGGTTTGTAGTTACGAGTTGCACCCCTTTACCAAAAGCCGCCTCTTCCTTAGAATGTAGCAACAAATAGTCTACCATGGATTGAACGTTCCGCTGCGCTCTGCATTCAGCTTTACGGAAATTGCGTAGTAAAATACAAATGAGAGATCACGGTGAAAAACTTTGGTGGAAACTACCCTGTGCAAGTTGTGTTCGAGAGATCAATTTTGTCTTACATTTTGTTTTGCGAATTAAATTGTGTATAATGGGCTCTCTGCGTTGTCTACCTTTATAAAATACAGGGAGGTAACTCTTACCTTTATAAATACAGGGGGGTAATTCTTACCTTTATAAAATACACGGGGGTAACTCTTACCTTTATAAAATACACGGGGGTAACTCTTACCTTTATAAAATACAGGGGGGGGGGATAACTCTTACCTTTATAAAATACAGGGGGTAACTCTTACCTTTATGAAATACAGGGAGGTAACTCTTGCCTTTATAAACTATAGGGAGATAACTCTTACCTTCATGAAGTACAAGGAAGCATCTCAGGTATTATCTGCGTTTTACAGTTTCGTGCAGTTCTAGTACTTCTGACGACTAATGCATATATTCAAGATCAAAATAAACCCCCGAAAATGTCGAACCATGGCCTTTAATCAAACAATAGGCATGATTCGACAAAAAAACAATAAAGTTATCCATCTGTAACACTTTGCCTAAGAGCCTAAAATATACAGTTTATCACAAATAACATCTAGGAATGAAAACATTCTTCATTATTACTCGATAAAATCATCTCAGACAGGTGGGTAAATATTATCTCCCTTTAATTCAATTCAGATCACAGTCATCTGACTCATTACAGAAACAGATTTTATTGACCAATGCCTTTTTTTATACATTCGCCTAAAAAGGTGGACACGAAAATGCAGTATTCAATATAGACAAATTTGGCCTGGGCTATGTGTATATAAATAAAACAGTTCTTATAGTCTTAATCTATGATTTTATGATTAAAACTCTTGATACTTGATATGAATATGGTATATATAGTTAAGATCTTGGCATATAGAAATAATTTCTTGGTGTGTGATGTGATTTGTTCACGTTGGATTCCGCAGAGGCATTTGATGCACTCTTTTCGTTTGTTGATTATGCGCCAGCTCTTGTCTTGTCTTGTCCAAACCAAAGCCCAATTGTCCGTGACGGGTCGACTGGTCTCGTAGAACTACCTCTATATGGAGGCTTCCGTTTTCGAAGTAATAATTACACGTATCTATCCATAAAATTGTCTTATTTATCTATATCTTGTGCTTCTAATATGTCATTGAAAGATTAACACAAGATATGATATAGGTAAATCAATAGAAGCCATAAAGGGATATAACGATAACAATCATGATTAAAGATATGCATATAATAACAATCAGTTACGTGACAACGTTACCTGTATGTGTTTCTAAACGTAGTATGTAATAAACGTAGAAGTAGTATATCTATATAACTTGTGTTTTTAATGTTACCTGTATGTGTTTCAAAACGTAGTATGTAATAAACCTAGAAGTAGTATATCTATATAACTTGTGTTTTTAATGTTACCTGTAAGTGTTTCAAAACGTAGTATGTAATAAACCTAGAAGTAGTATATCTATATAACTTGTGTTCTTAATGTTTACCTTCCTACTTCTATATTTCTTACAAAGATTATATTTAAATATAGTCTTATTTTCGAGATATTTTCCCAACAACGTTTGGTTTTTAAGACTATTGTATGTATTTCAAAGTATACCAAGTAGCCTAAATCGACACAACACATTTTATGTCGAGAGAAACTAATTAATTCATTTGCAATCTCTTGGTTAGGGAAGGGGACAGATCATTAATGCAGAATGTTTTAGTGGTCTGTGTCTATATGATACGAAGAGTAGCGTCCCCTTTGTAGTCTCGATTGTCATACATGAAGACTTAACAAAAATTTTCAAGATGGCGGGTTTTCCGAAATCTTGAAACATTTCTTCAAACTTATTCTCTCATATTGCTAACAATTAAGAAATGGTTTTAGTCTTTGACTGAATAAACAAAATGTTCGAGCTGTCAGACGATGATGACGAGTTTTGGGAGGTAGAATAGAGGTTTTTAAACTCTCTGACCGTCTTAATCTCTGCTTCTGTTTGTTTTGAATTGGATTTTTGCTAAATAGGCTAATGACGTAATGATCTTACAACGATCGTATCAGAATTGTAATTTTTCTGTTGTGACCTTATTAACTACATGATGACTTTGACATCTCCATGTACATCTCTGGGTCCATTTAAATTAACCCAGTCTTTCTTTGCAAAGTAGTCTACATCCTACTCTACTCACTGTCTGTCTCAGTGTCTGTTTTTAGCTGATCTCAATATTTGTGACCTCTACCAGTGCTGTACATAGATGTTCCTATAAACTTTCTCACTATTAGTACTATATCACCAACCTTATATTGGCCATGGTTAGTACATTTGGTATTCGAAATTGCCTGAATGAAAAGTGTGGACCTCTTGTCTCTCCTTTCTGGTCTAATTAAGATTTCATTTCCAACTCTCATATTTTAGGATTTACCATTATTAGATGTTACAAAGAAAATAGAATCCAAGAGTGAAGTAGACATTGCATCAAAAAGACAGTGTTTAGAAAAGGAAAACATTCAGAGTGAGAATGATTGCATCAATGGAGGTGTTAAAAAACAAGTAAGGACTCAGTCTGGTGCTCTGCCAACTCCTGTATTAAGTAATTTCACTGGCACAAACCTTCAACAGTCTGCTCATGGAAATAGAATTACTTGTGGATTTTTTACACCAGTCAAAAGTCCTGATGAGAGATCATCAAATAATTCAGATATATTGGAGCCAAGAAAACAAGGAGTTGAGGTAAATGACAGTATTTCAAGTGAAATAGTTGATACTCCTCACCATGGGCTCAATACACCAAGGGGCATAACTCATGTAGAATTTAGTACGCAAAATATACAAAGGGGCATAACCCATGGAGAACCAAGCACACCAAATATGCCAAGGAGCGTAACCCATGGAGAACCAAGCACACCAAATATTTCAAGGGGCTTAACTTATGGAGAACAAATTACACCAAATATACCAAAAAGGAAAACACCTGGAAATACTTTGAGTCCTGGCACACCTGCTGCTGACATGAATGTTCCAGGAAATGTAAGAGCATCCAGTGTTCCTCAAGAAATACCTGGAAGACGCGGCAAGCGAAAATTTCCAGGACCAGCTGGTCGTTTACCTAAATTAGTAAGTTGTGTTGATCTTACACTCTTATTCTTATAATCTGTTGGTTTTTTCTCAAAATTCTTCAAATGAAATATTTGACATGGACTGTGCACTGTGCATAGCACAAAGTTATTTTCCAGGCAGTTGTTATGATAGGGTACTCTTTTTAAAATCTATGTTTTTGTCATTTTCAGAAACCAGGAGAAGTCATGAATAAATCTACAGCTGTTTCACCAGAATCAGAAAACAAAGGCACCACGGTACATCTAATCATTTTTTCTTATTCTAAACTAAATCTATTCATCATGCCCTGTAGGTATCAATCTTCACAATGTCAAGTTATTACGAACTTCCTCTTATACCTTGACTGCAATATCCACCTTTCTTGTATCATTGAAGTTTGTAAATGGAGCGATTTCATTGGATTGTACGCTAGCAAATACATCCAATTACGTACCTCTACAGACAGTTCAGACAATTTCATTGGTCAATCACTAAATTTATGATTTTTGTCCTAGTCATTTGATTGGTCAATCAAATCAATTCCATTAACCAATCAGATTTTATTTCTTAAAATTCTGATTATATGTTGTGAAACAGTTAGTACCTTTGCCTTGCTCTAGACTCTATAACAATTCATCATTTTCTCTTCTGCAGGATGTAATAATGTGCTCTCAGATGAATGATGATGTGTTTAATGAATCGTCATGGAAACTTCTAAAACAAGATTTAGGACCAGACGCTGAAATTATTTTAGATCAATTCTCAGTGTCTTCTAGCTTAACAATGGTGAGTTTGGTCTATTTAACACCCTAGTTTCCAATTAACCTATTTTCTCCCTGTGTCCCTACTCAATACAATTTACAAAGATTTTTTGGAGTGTGACGATATCAAATAATTGCTCTGGGGGTGTTGGGGGGAGGGGGGAAATGTTAGAAACCATAAAAACAGCTATCTGACTACATTTAACTAATGATGTATTGTAGTCCTAGGTTATCTTGTTATATTGTAACATGTAAGTGATTTGATGATGTATTGTAGGCGAGTAAGAAGACCTTACCCCAGGGTAAAATACCACTATTATTTGTGATTGTGGAGTCCCTAGATTTACAGGGAGCTGGTGGAAGTGTAGTCCTGAAAGACAAAACAGGTATTTAACATAATTCCTAGTTTAGTCCTTTGAGTGGGCCAATAACTTTCATTCCTTACTCCACTAAGCCAATTTATTTTAGAAAAGTAGGCAATATAAAACTGTGTCATATACCAGATTATATGTGATATTTCTAGGATGTCAGAGGAATTGTAAAAAGGTTTTCTAAATTGTTTAGAAAGCATCAATTATTTGTACCATTCCAATGTTTGAGTAGACATCTGTTGTTCCTGCAATTCTACTAAAACTAAGTGTTTTATGACATCTAAACTTCCAAAATATGCTTGTATCATATAAGGATCTTTGCGATTCGTGACATCATCAAACACTTAGTTTTGTAGAATTGCATGAGCCACAGACGTCTGATCAAACATTGGTGCAAATTAATGCTATCAGTGTCCCCGATGCACAAAAAGAATTTATCTTTACAATCCAATTTTTTTTGTATAGGAAGAATCAAAGGAACGTTACATCGGGATGTGATTAAAGAATATGGTGCTGATATTCAGCCTGGTACTACATTAGTTCTTAGACAGGTCAGTTATTCTCTACATTACGACAGATGTGGCCCCAGGCTATTCTAGACACCTGATACCACTTTTCATTATGAAATATTTACTCACTTATGATTGATATACTTCCTCTTGTGAAAAGTTCATTAGCTGCTACCAATTTATCACCAAAATGTTGTTTTGGATTTTTGGTTTCCTTTGTGAGACTCGGATCGTTAGTTCTATGTTTATTAATATTCACTAATATCTGAAAGGTTGTCAAGTTGGCCGTTTATTCATTATTATTAATGATTATGTATCCAGCTCCAGTTTCAATTGCGTTTCCACCTGTCGTGCAGGTAAGAGGGGCCCACAAGAGAAAAGCTTGTAGTCGTTCGGATGGGACAATAAACCGAGGTGAACAGTGAATTCAGGCTTCTCATTATTTTTTGTTTTTCTGTTTTGTAGGTTGGTGTAGTGAGCCCAACTAACCGAACTCATTATTTGAATATTACCCCTACCAATATGGTTTACCTGAACAGTAACGCCTCCAACGTCAACAGACATCTCTTTCATCATCATTCTTTAAAACATTTCATGGCAGACTTCAAACGGAAATGCAAACAGGAGCAGCTAGTACAGAATGGAAACTTGATGCTTAGTACTCCTCAAAGATGTTCTAATAGAATGATTCCAAGTGTGAATTTATCAACTCCTGTAATTTGTCAAAAGACAAGTGAACATATGCCAATGTTCGCAAGTCATGGTGTAAGAGCTTTAACTCCAAACAGTGGTGCGCGTGTAATGGGAATCTCAACTCCAAGACCATTATTAAGTTGTTATCAAAGGGCAACGACTCCAAATAGTGTCAATAGCAGCAGACTTAGTGAAAATTTTGGAGGAAACATGATTCAACAACAGACCCTCAATCAAAGGGCAACAACTCCAAATAGTGTCAATAGCAGACTTGGTGAAAGTTTTGGAGGAAACATGATTCAACGACAGACCCTCAATCAAAGGGCAACGACTCCAAATAGTGTCAATAGCAGACTTGCGGCTCCAATAAAAAGTACTCCTGTAGGAAACATAACTCCTAGGTCGACGTTGAATGTCAACCAAATAGCAACAACTCCTAACTTTAATTTCAATCAAAGGAACACAACTACAGACCATTGTCTTTCAGGCAGTTATACTAAGGAAATTCTTCCTCCTGATTTTCACAATTTGGGATTGAGGCAGCCTTCAAATATCAGTCAACAATTGAAAGGAAACTTGATGCATGAAACTTGTGAGAATTCAAAGTTTACCGATATTAGAAATTCAAGCCATGGATACATAAACAAAACGAATTCTATAAAACCAATCACGACAGAGCAAAGTTCATCCAGTAGGATAGTGCCAACTTTTGGCAAGAAGAAAACAAATCAAGATGTCCAACTAGCTTCAAAAGTGACTCCATCTTTTCCATGCAGTGTTCAAAATAAGGAAAATTTCAGTGTCAGTAAAATTTCATCAAATATAGGGAATAATCCTGTTGTGACTCCAAAGACGTCTAAATTTAGTTTTAAATCTAAAACCCCCTCTGTGTCACCTGGTGTAAAAACTCCAGTACTGCCATGCCAAGTTCCTTGGTGCCAGAAAACAACTTCATCTAATAAGACTGATCCTGTAGACTGTGATAGTCTGTGGCAAGATGATGGTAGGTTTTCTTAAAAATTTTCCCAGAAAATTATTGGTTGTGCATTTATGATCAATAGAGGATTATCCAACAATCAGAACTTTGCCAGGACAGAGGCATTAGCCTGCTCGTTTTCGATTTCCAACTGTCGAGGGATCTTTAACGTGCACAGCCTGTAGCACACGGGGCCTCGGTTTATTGTCCCATCCGAACGACTAGACGCTTTTTCCATGTCAGCCCCTCTTACCTACATCACTGACAGGGGGAAACTGGGTTGAAAAAATCCAAAGGTATTATCTCGACCTATGCCTGGATTGAACCCTGGACCTTTAGGTTAGCGAGCAAGCGTCTAACTCACTGAGCCACCGCGGCTCCCTTATAAACAGACAAGGATGATGTTTCTAACTACAAGCTGCATCCAATCAGGGTTCTTTTTAACATTTCAATTTGTTTTTTTCAGATATCAGTGATGAGATGTTGACCCATCTAACAGAAGATATGCCTTGATTAATATACCACTTCTATTGAAAGTTATATATCTTTATATTTCAACTGGGCCTGAAAACTTGCTGTAGGCATGCTAAAAACTTGTGCTGCCAATGCCTTAAAACCTGTTTTTGATATCTATGTTATTTTTCTTATGTTCAGTCAGGAGCATATCTATACTTGAGGCAGAGGGGCATAAATTAGAGGTGACTCACTTAGATGGGATCTGAGGGCTGCCAGAGATGCCAAGAAGCCAACAATTTTGATTTTGGGGGAGGGGGGGAAGGCATGGCCCAATCCACCACTGTGTCAAGTTGTACTGTATTGTTATTATGTGCCATCAACTTGTTATTGTTTCTATAGATATATGGTGCTTGTTATTTACTTTGATTTGTAAATAAAAACATATAGATGTTATTGTTTATAGACTATATTGTTGAGGGTTCCAGTGGCAGCCCCAGTGGCCATTCAGTAGAAAAACGGTTTGCACCCCATAGGCAAAAAGGAAAATGTGTAAGGATGTCTAAGCATTAGAAGCAGAAATAGTTTTTGTTTTGGGGAGAAATTTAAAAAAAAAAAATATAGGCTTTTATGCAATTCTTTCAATAATATTACATTTTTACAAAGAAAAATGCATATTTCCAGAACAAAAATTGTAATTTTGAGTTTTTGGGGAGAGGACCTGCAGCCCTGTCTCCCCCCGTGGAGCCACCACCGATCTTATCTATTACAATCCTCTAGAGAGTCAGACTGAGTTCATATTAGATAACAGCTGATAGATCTTTATGGACATTGGTCTGATACAGCTCAATATCAAACTTCCATAAACACTAGGTCAGTAATCTTCAAGTCTGTCCTCCTCTGATCTATGAGGTTTAAATTCAAAATTTGTCATATTTTCAGATAAAGTTTAAGAAGCAGTATATAAAGGACTTGAGAAAAAAAATTATCAGCATATTCCAAAATATAAATAATAACTGTCAAGGATTGTGATATGAGTCTTGTTTCTACGTAGTGTAGCGAGGAAAAATATTAAGGCCAAAGGTCTGGGAGCCTTCTAATCTTTTCCGTAGACATGATATAATAGACATTTGTCTACATGTAGTTATGGTCTTGAAGCTTGGTATGAGTCCTACTAATTAGCAAGGAGCTAGGACAATGATAGCTTTTCTACTAAATTTTATTAATTGCATGAAGAGGCAGGATCCAGTTCAGTAATTAAGAGTAGAAAATAGCTCAAGAATAGCCTCAAAATAACTTCTATTTTAGAAAAATAATTATAAAATCATTATATATTTCTCAATCATTAACAAATCATATCAAAGAAAAATGTTAAAGACAGATTAACAAATGGAATTGTGTTATATTCTACTATTCTGAATTTCATAGGTCAGTTAAGTCTGGAACCAGCGTACGAGATCCGCACAATATTTATTTTGACAGTAATTCCCGCAATATGACGTCAATTGTTTTGATCACGTGACAAGGTCAGCTGTACGGTGTTATGGCGGCGTCGAATGTAGAAGGTGTCCAACATGAAGAAAATAGGCACACTGACAGCCCCCAGCTAAATAGAAAGGCCTTAAATGAGCTGGGGTCGGTGGAAGAAAAGGGCGTGCCTCTTAACACATCATGGACATTTTGGCTAGACAAGTAGGTGCTGATATTTAAGACGAAATTTTCCACAAATATCAGTTTTGTTTTACTTCCGTTTAAATGTCAACATTTGTTTATTTTGTTGATGAAATATTTTCGCTGTTTTTTATGTTTTATGATCTTGTCAGTTGAAAATTCTTGTTTATGAATACCTAGTGCTATCTTTCAGTGAGAGCTTGAGAGCTTGGAAATTTTGAAATAACTCGATGATTGACAACATAGTCTTGATTTCTTCTGGGAACTGACTAAGAAGAGTAAGAAAGGCCAAAAAAATTATTGCTGAGTTGTCAAAATAGGACTTTGGATTATAAAGAGAATAGAATAGATCTATAAAGCTCTTTTTTTTATATGTGTTGGGGCTATCTATGTGCATCATTCTGATTTGCTGTCAGATGTGGTTCCTGTAATATAAAATTGCATATTAACCATATATGAAGTCACTATTGAAAATCTGCTATTACTATCTAATGGCCTGTGCAAAATTATATACATTATAGAATTTTTGACAAGCTTACAATATCTAATGGCTTTTGCAATAGAAATGTGATAAAACACTAAGTTTAAGTTAAATCACAACAACTCCAAATGCCTGACTGAAAATTGAAATGATGCAAATAGATGCTATCAGACTGTATCCCTGTATGTATACAAACAGTTGTACGTTTGAGATTGTTTCAATTGATTGGACATTGATAGCATCAATTTGCACATTTTCAAGTCAGACAAAATAAAATGGAAACATTTTAGTTTTGCAATATCCTAGGTAAGAAAATAAAGGTGTCCTTTTGAAACTAACTTGTCAGCTTTGATTCTGTAGTACTGGGGTTATTGAACGTATTAATTTTTAGTTAATGAAAAAAATTTCTGTCTGTGCCAATTGCGTCCTATTGGAAACTAACCAGTCTGTTTTGATTCTGGCCGTATTACTGAGTTTACTTGATTTAGTAATAGGCCTATATAGTTTATGAAATTTTTTTAGGACAATCCGAGGAACAACGGCAGCAGAATATGAAGCCAGTCTACGTAAACTTTACACCGTTAATACAGTGGAGGTTTGTAAATTTACATCTTTGAATTCCACAACCTTTATCATACAACAATCCTTCTCAATCAGCTTCTAAAAAGCTGTATCATTTTATAATGTGACAATCTGCACAGTTCAATAAGAAATTCTCTGCAGTTTGCGGAAAGCTGAATCTATCTCTACATTCCTTAAATATTTACCTTAACGTACCTAGGACGTAAAACTCCATTCATTTCATTTCAATATTTACCTCAGAATATGTTAACCTACATCATCTCTTCAATACGTTTCAATTACGTATGCTCCATAGCCTCATACGAAGATATCCAGATAAAGCTCATCACTAAACTATTTATTGAAAAGGGGGCGTGGTTTGAAAGATGATTTATGTTCACTAAGAGACAGTGGTCAAGGGAGACGATTTATATTATGCTATTTTTGAAAGGTTGTGTAGCATAGTCCATTAAAGAATCTTTGCTTGAATGTACGATTAAATTTTCATTTTCATCAAACAAATGATGGTCATAAATTTAATAACATGGTGAAAGTCAGGGACCTAGAATATTTCATCTTTCCTCATTAATCAAGTTAACATGGCTGTAAATGGGTCTGGATAACCTGGGAAAGATCAATGCCAAGAGGTTCGGCCAATTATCCATGTGAACCTAGCTTGTTAAATTAAGGTGCAGAATGGAAGACAGGCCTATCGTTCGGTACTCGGGATCTTATCTTGATGTGGTGGTTAACATCCAGTAATAGTTGTCAAGGGAGATAATTTAAATCTTTATTTCGTACTATTATATTAGTTTTAAGACGTATGATAGGTGGTTAACATCCAGTAATAGTTGTCAAGGGAGATAATTTAAATCTTTATTTCGTACTATTATATTAGTTTTAAGACGTATGATAGGTGGTTAACATCCAGTAATAGTGGTCAAGGGAGATAATTTAAATCTTTATTTCGTACTATTATATTAGTTTTAAGACGTATGATAGGTGGTTAACATCCAGTAATAGTTGTCAAGGGAGATAATTTAAATCTTTATTTCGTACTATTATATTAGTTTTAAGACGTATGATAGGTGGTTAACATCCAGTAATAGTTGTCAAGGGAGATAATTTAAATCTTTATTTCGTACTATTATATAAGTTTTAAGACGTATGATAGGTGGTTAACATGCAGTAATAGTTGTCAAGGGAGATAATTTAAATCTTTATTTCGTACTATTTTATTAGTTTCAAGACGTATGATAGGTGGTTAACATCCAGTAATAGTTGTCAAGGGAGATAATTGAAATCTTTATTTCGTACCATTATATTAGTTTTAAGACGTATGATAGGTGGTTAACATCCAGTACTAGTGGTCAAGGGAAATAATTTATATCTTTATTTCTCACCATTTCAGGGATTTTGGAGTGTGTACAATAATATACCAGCACCTAGTATAATTAATACCAGATATAGCTACCATTTAATGAGGCATCAAATCAGACCAGTGTGGTAAGTTGAAAATAAATTTTGAAAATTGAAAGACCTTAAATCTTGTAATTTATGCATTTGGAAGAGTATTCTTTTAATATTATGACATTTTTACAATGAAATACTGCAAATTCCTCTCTCCTTTTGACACTTCAACTGGTTTCATGAAATGAAATGGAAGTCTTGTAATTCCAGGGAGGATGAGGCCAATTCTTCTGGTGGAAATTGGAGATTAAAATGTCATAAATTTAACACAGTACGTAGTTTTGGTCTTTTAAAGGGACAGGTGCAGCATTTTCGGAGTTGATTTGAACCTTGAACATATAGAAATATTCTTCAGAAATGTATGATTGTCGCATAATTACTTCAAATAGTTCACAAACTTAATATTTATTTCATTCACAAGCTTATCTTCTTTCTAAAAATTGGGGTATCCGAATGTTGAACGTTTTGTTGATATAGTCTCTGACACCAAGACATCTTCAGCTGTGGTTAGACGAAATGCGACAGGATGATTGAGTCTACTGTATTTACATAACGTAATCAACGAATATTCTAAATAAAAAGTCTCTTTAAATGATGACAAGTTGAAATAAAAATCAAACATAGATAATTATGGATACACTTGAATTTAAAGGGTGAAATTTTGACGGCAATCTGTGAACACTATTACTGATTTGATTAGCGGAACAATTCACGGTTCTGAGACTAAAGTAAGATTAACTGCAGGAATTGCTGCATCTGTCCCTTTAAGGAATACTATTTCTTAGAATGAACATAAAACAGAAAACTCAAAAATAAAGTTTTAAATTGTCCAGATGAAGATTTTATATCAGAAACATGTGATACAAGAAACAGATGAGCTGTAATTAGATAGATTCTAAAATTGAATAGTAGTTTTTGTTGTTTTAGCATCTGATGTAAGACCCATTCTCAACCATAATAAACATGGGAAGAGCGAAACCCAAAGAGACTGTCATATTACTCTACTTTTGGTAGAGTACCATAAGAAAATATTCATACTTTACATGCTTTGAATGGATAAAATTGTTAAATTTTTATTAGAACAAGGCCTAGTTAAAAAATTGTTTGATCACAATGGAAAGGAAAATATCACGTCAAGAAACAAAATTGTCATTAATTTGCATTAAACTGCGCCCTTCTCAAGTTTTTGTTTTCTATATTTTATAGGTTCAAGTATGGAAAGAGTTACTATTGGCAGCCATTGGTGAAAAATTATCAGAATGTATGGCTGAAGGTTGGTGACATTTTTTAGTCTACACTGGTCTGCCATTCCATCTGAAGGAATGGGTTGAAGGTGTTGTCATGTTGACATTTATTTGACGAAATCAGCCATACCCTATAGTAACATCATTTGGGTTCTTGCTTGTCAGTACTGTATAAACTGGTCTGCCATTTCATCCGAATCATCGCCTTCACTTTGCCATTGATTGGTCGAAATGACATCATACCCTATAGTAACATTATTTGGGTCCCTGAGCTAGTTATTTTGAGATGTCTATGGTCTATCCTTAATAGACTTAGTCTAACTAATACAACATGAACAACTTAACAAAAACGGAATCATGGTCTGAGGAGGTCCCTAGAAAATCTTGGAAAAAATAATTGATTTCATTCATTCCAACACAAATTACGGGCAAACACAAATAATATCACAAAATATCTTAGAAATGAAGTGAGGGTACCAATTAATTTTCTGGAAGGACAAATGCCCCCTGTATGCCCACTGGCACTTTGCCACGGTACTACTGTTAACACATAATTTAACACATGCACAAGGGGAGTTACTTCACCTCGAAAACCCTTTTTAAAATAGATCTCAGTCGTATTCCTCATATTTTATTTCTAATCTCTAGGTGATGAGATCACAGGAATTAGTGTGAGTTTGCGAGATCGTGATGATATTATCCAAATATGGAATTCCCAGGCCGTTCTAGCCGAACAAGCTACGGTGGTATCAAAAGTCAAGTCTCTACTACCAGATGTTACTTTCACTGCAGTATTTTATAAAGGTAAGAGTTATCTCCCTGTATTTTATTAAGTTAAGAGTTAACTCCCTGTCTTTTATAAAGGTACCGGTAAGAGTTGCCTCCCTGTATTTTATAAAGGTAAGAGTTATCTCCCTGTATTTTATTAAGTTAAGAGTTAACTCCCTGTCTTTTATAAAGGTACCGGTAAGAGTTGCCTCCCTGTTAACTTCGTGGTCAGGTGAGTTTGTTAAAACTGTTATTTTCTATTTTCAGCTTTCGTACAGCATGATGCTTTTGAAGGTATGAGATCTCATCAACATCGATGATCATAATGCTTAGATCAAAACTGTGTATTAATTTTATCATTTTTTGAAAACCATGCATATCACTATCATGATTGTATGGCCAGTATTGTGACTATCCGTGAATATTTGGCAGTATGGTCTGTATATCTTGTGTCTCAATTATCCCTGTGTGATATATCGGCTAGTGTTGGGTATCGCCAATCATGCCATGATACGATATGTATCGCGATACAAGTGTCAGGTATCACGACAAGTAATGTGATAACCTTGTAACTGTGATATTTGGTAATGTTTTTGATAGGAAAACGCGTATCGTGGCATGTCGTATATATATCCTGCAAAGCACTTCTATCAGCCTTTAAAACATTGTATTCAAACAACAAACGATACTTATTACCAATTTTTGAATTCCCATAAATATATGCCTTGTGGACAGCTCGGGAGGACCATTCATTAAAACAAGATATCTTAACTAAGGAAACCCAGGAATTCCCAAATATATGTACCTTTTTAACAGCATGTAAAGGAATGCTCATCTCAACTGAAGGTATATAAATAAAAAATGAACTGCACAGGTTGCCATAAACAATGTAGCTTTAGGCAAAGTGCTGAATAAAACAAACCCACTCAGCAGAAGAAAGAAGATTATTATTCAAATGAACAGGTTGCCCTAATCAATATACCTGTAATAAAAGGGCTGAGCAATACACATTAGGGGGTTTTGAGATCAACTCGACAAATGGCAGATGATAATTCCAGACTCCTATACTTATTATCCAATGAAATAGCAGAACTTTTTTTATATTGTGGTATATGTTTGAACTCTAATATAGGTCAGTTACCTTAAGATCGAACTTTAATATAGGTCAGTTACCTTAAGATCGAACTTTAATATAGGTCAGTTACCTTAAGATCGAACTTTAATATAGGTCAGTTATCTTAAGATCGTATAGCGTGTAACTCTGGGTAACAACATGATGCAAGTTCTGTTTTGATATACATCTATGTATCTATTTCAACTTTAATGAGTGTTAAAACAGAATGCAGTATATATGACTTACTAAGTTAATTGTACACAACGTTTCAATGATTTACAGTCATCATACAGTGAAAAGATAAAGGATTATTAGAACTATATTAGAAAGTATTTCTTATCCAGGAGAAAAGCGTTGAAAAGATGAAGATAATTTATTCTGAGAGGCCTATGCTTAAAATTTCCTAAAACTTATGGAATTCATTTGTTTTTTTAAAATAAGATAGGCCTAAATGGCAAATAATTTTACTATCCCTGTGGTTTTAAAGATGGGTATCCTTATTTTTTAGTGTCAAATTAAGCAAACTATTATCATGTATTCTTAATCATATCATTATGTTCTTTTAATTAGGAGTTTTAACCAATCATAAATATCCATGTATGTACAGTCTGGATAAACAAAAATGACTTTTTGACCTTTCTTGATCGGTCGCTCATTGTAATTCTGCTGGTAATTCTCCTCTAATTTAGCTAATTATGAATTAATTATGGACATGTGACATAAACTGGTATTTTTCCTAGTCATTAGAACACCTCTACTTTCTATTCATATAAGTATTTGCATTTTCATTTTCATAAATAAAAATAAGGGAACCCATCTTTAACTTTAATTTGATGGTATGAATGTTGAAACGCAAAAATGAAATTGTTTGTTTTAGCCAGATTTTTTTATTAGCATGTTAAAGCCAATGCCATATGATGTGTAAATATGATCTAATTCAATTTGTTAGTAGTTGTCAAGTCGTCTGCTTCTAAAGGTACAGACACACTAACAGTCTTTGTCAGCGATTTTTGTCGCCGACTTGAGTCGTATCAAGAGTTTCACCGAACAGCACAGACACACCGAGACAACAATCTCCAATCAGTCGTTTCCCACCTTGTCGATAATCAAGTGCGGAGCATGCAATAGAAAGGAAAATGAATCTGATTGGATGATGACGCCCTGTCTTGCAGCCGATAAAACTATCGGAGAAAATTATCAAATTTGTTTGATAACACGATAATCTTGTCGTAAAAGCACGGGTACTCACAAGATTTTCGAAAAATTCGAGTCAGCGACAAAACTCTCTGACCAAGACCGCTCGTGTGCCCGCACCTTTACTGAAGAGCTCAAGAATGGTTAGGACCCTTTTTTCAAACCTTTTCCGTCTCTTAGTACCCCTTAAGACGTTTTGATGAAGTTTTTACATCTCTTTAAGCTTACATTGTTTTACGTTTTATCCTAGATTTTTACCATTTTATATATCAATTTAATGAGAAAGCTTTCGATCAAATGGCTATTGCTATTTACATTGGAAAGTAAATGTTATTTTATGTGTTTAAATGTGATAATTCATTTGAATCAACCAGGAATTTCCCTTTCAAGGGAGGTTACTATGTGGAGAGATATTGGCGATAAGTTGTCTCCCTTTCTGAAGGGAAGGGAGGGGAAGTAACTTATGATTGATAAGTTTGATTGCCTCTAATCACTTCTATCCTGGGATTGTAGATATGATAATCATGAGATGAACTTGCCCCATTATGATTCCTTATCAATATCTATTACAGTTTGCGTATAAATGTATTATTATTATCATTATTATTTTTATTATTATTATTTTTTCAATTATTATTATTATTATTATCCGAGCTGTGAATGTTTTATGTAAATGATCATGAATTAAATGAATTGAAAAATATTCTTCCGATTTCTGTGTGTCGCTAGTTATTGAGAATTCTCACCACGACAAAAGACAAATTTTACTTTTGATATCTTCATAAAGCTAAGCAAACCGTCGATGAGTCCATCAAGACGTAACAAATATTCTAATGTACCCAGACAGTACCATAACACAGTCAACGTATATATGCATTTCTTTTTCTGCTGGGGTATATTTTTTAACAAGGCAGATCAGTGATTTACCAGCATTGCACCTCTCAGGAGGTTGACGCTGCCATCTAAAGCGTCGTTAATTCGGCCCTTCAGAGACACTTCTCACTTTACACTTTTTTTAGCCTCCAAGATCTGCATTATTAACAGATATGGTTCCTGAAAACTGAATAATGTTGTCGAATGAAATGCGCATACAAATGGATAACAAAGATAGTTTTTGAGTTTGATGGAATTTCATTTAAATAAATCTCCACGGATTTCAGTTTTAAATTTCCACTGTCCCCGACTCCACCTAAGAGAAATGGGAAACTTTGTGATGCCCATATTAAAGTAGAATTAATTTCTTTGTTGAGTACTTTGACGGAACTTTGGCGCTCTTGCATTTATACGGAGAGCAGGAAATGGCTATATTTGTGTCATTGCTTCGAAAATAACATCTATTAAATACTAGAACAATTTAATTATTTGCAGATACTCGGTAGTTCTTATGGAAGTGCTGTGTACGACGGTGTGCATAGTTATGACGTTAAGCGTCTTTTGTCGTACAAACAAGATGGCGTCAATACGCACAGAGACTTCAGCCTCGTTCTTCTAGTCTTTATTATTACCTCTATGGTTGTACCTAATGAAAAACCTCACTGTATTTCATACAGTTAAGAGTAACCTTCCTATTCTTTAATCCCCCCCCCCCCCATCCCCCTATATTTCATAACCGTAAGAGTTTTCTCCCTGTATTTTTTGACAGTAGAAGATATCTCCCTGTATTTTATAATTGTAAGAGTTACCCTCCCCGTATTCTATAAAGATAAGTGTTACCTCCCTCTATTTTATAAAGATTTAAGAGTTACCCCCTATGACAGTTACTTTCCTGTGTTTGGTTTTGAGTTGCCCCCCTGTAGCTACGGGTCTGCCTTGATGAGTGGACGGGGTACTGTGAAATGTTACAGAAGGACAGCGAAGACACCGGAAATGTTTTTTCTATACTTTTATTTAAAACAAACACACTTATTTGGTGATCTCTCTCCAAAATGTATTTTTTAGAATCAATGTGTCGGTTTACCACACACCAATCCCAACAAATAACGTATATCTTCCTGAACAATGAAATAGCCCGGATGTAGAGGAATGTTTTCCTTGGCTGTGGTCGTATCCCAATAATTTAAAAACCAAACAGAGTCTTTAAACTCCGCTAGCTCTGTCAATATAATATCTGTATATAGTTTACCAAAATAATCGTTTATTGAAGTTGGACACACCGTCCCATAAAATATATGCGGACCTTTGATGGCTATTTTTAGTTCTTTATTTCGCTTTAAAGCATCTCTGAGGGGAATTTTAAGTGAACGAATATGGTTCCTGAAAACTGAATAATGTTGTCGAATGAAATGCGCATACAAATGGATAACAAAGATAGTTTTTGAGTTTGATGGAATTTCATTTAAATAAATCTCCACGGATTTCAGTTTTAAATTTCCACTGTCCCCGACACCACCTAAGAGAAATGGGAAACTTTGTGGTGCCCATATTAAAGTCGAATTAATCTCTTTTTTATGGCACTCGGAATAAAAATACCATTTGTATCCTTCCACTTTTATGGTACATTTATATCTTTTGAGAAGAACCGAATACCAACTTCGAATAGTCGAATCACCGTACAGAAATAAAGTCGTATTCCTCAAACACTGATTTATGGAGTCGTCATTTAAACGATTTTCACATTTCAATGGTTTTAACTCTCTACCAGAATAATATCCAGGAGGCGTTTTTATATCCCATGTTTCTCTCACCGGAAGCCCGCTGCAATTTCTTAAATTTGCTCTAGGATTATTACCTGCAAGAAATGTGAAAAAAATAAATCCATAAATTAAAATAAATTAATAAATTAAAATAAATAAATCAATGAATATGAAATTAATTATATATTAATAAACATATGAATAAATTAAAATATATAAATTAAAATAAATGAATCAATGAATATGAAATTAATTATATATCAATAAACATGTGAATATATTAAAATATATAAATTAAAATAAATAAATTAAAATGAATAAATTAATTGAAATACATCAATCAATAAACATGTGAATAAATTAAATAAATAAATTAAAATAAATAAATTGAAATAAATTAATAAATTAAGATAAATAAATTGAAATAAATTAATAAATTAAGATAAATAAATTGAAATAAATTATTATAAATTAAAATAAATAAATTAAAATAAATAAATTGAAATAAATTAATAAATTAAGATAAATAAACTGAAATAAATTAATAAATTAAAATAAATAAATTGAAATAAATTAATAAATTAAGATAAATAAATTGAAATAAATTAATAAATTAAGATAAATAAATTGAAATAAATTATTATAAATTAAAATAAATAAATTAAAATAAATAAATTGAAATAAATTAATAAATTAAGATAAATAAATTGAAATAAATTATTATAAATTAAAATAAATAAATTAAAATAAATAAATTGAAATAAATTAATAAATTAAGATAAATAAATTGAAATAAATTATTATAAATTAAAATAAATAAATTAAAATAAATAAATTGAAATAAATTAATAAATTAAGATAAATAAATTGAAATAAATTAATAAATTAAGATAAATAAATTGAAATAAATTATTATAAATTAAAATAAATAAAATAAAATTCAAAGAAATATATGTAAATAAATGAATTAATAAGTTACGGAATAAATTCAAACGGTTAAATATAATTAAGTAAATGAGAGAAAATAAAATAAATCAATAAATCAAAATAGAAAATGAAAAAAAAAATCAAAAAAAAAAAATTCAATGAATTTAAATCAATTTTTATCCATTAATATTATCTACTGAACAATATGCATGACGCGCTTCTTCATTTCTTGGCGGGCGTTATGTCGTGATTTATTTCACGGATTGCTTTGCAGGCACGTGACTGAATTTGTTTGGGTTTATTTCTTTATGATTGAAGTTTTGAAGGGTATATGTTAATTTTCTGCATGTTATATCTGTATATATCTTTCTCTATGAAATGTATATTTATAACGAGAGAAAACATCAAAGGCGAATTGAAAATAAAATTTTACCTTTTAAGATCTTTAACTTTATTCTGGACGTAAAAGGTCGAAACGTTACGTCTCTGAAAAAGATGAATAAAAAACAAAACAGTATGAAGTTGTCTTTGTTCCTAAGAATTCCAGGGCAAATTTCTTCCGATTTAAATTTGTGACAGGTTTCCGATTTAACCCACTGACTGGACCATTTTCAAGCTTTTCGTGGTACCAATTCCACCATTGCCAAGTAACAGAAAGTAATTGGTTAAAAACAAGAGAAATTAACTCTGTATGAAGATAGTAGGCTTATTCAGGAAAAGATAACTCTGTATGAGTTCCAGTGGAGAAGCTAGGATTTCATCGACGGGGGAAAGGGGGGACACTAGGCATAGTGGGATGACAAGCTTAGGGGGTGAGAGCAAGACCGGGCCGTGTCTCGGAAGCATTGGAAGAAGGATATTTTTTTATTTTGTAATGGCCAGTGTGTGTGGAGGGGGGAGAGGGATGGAGGTAGGCATGGCCCATAAATGACCACCTAAATACGTCACTGATGAGTCCATATTTCATATCACAATGTAAATGTTCGTCACGGAAACTTATATTAGTGCGGTGAAGTGCGTTTAGTAGATAGTGCGCATAATATCCATGATTATATAGTATGCTATTCAAGTACCTACCTGTTGAAGTATTTGGCTTGAGCTCGATTTAAAGCTATCTCTGTATAATCCAGATCGTACAAGGAGACGAAATGGCTGCATGTTAAAGAATGTTGCAGTGGGCAACCACAATAAAATGGGTGATTGTAATTAATAGCGGTAAAATTACATACTACGTCATATCCGGGTATTTGGGCAAACACAGAACACATCGTTAATTCCTTGACGTTGTCCTTATTAAAATATCCCCGATAATAGAATAAAGTTTTATATTGTCTGTACCATTTAAACATGGAAGCGATTGCCTCCCTTGTATTAGGTAAAGCTCCATAAATTGTCGACTCGCCTTCCCACAAAGCATTAAAATTAGCCACGTAACTTCCGTTTTTTAAATCAGTGACGTAACCATTAACCCGAGAATATTCTCCCTTAGATTTCATCCACACTCTGACGTCATCACCGCCAATTCGTCTGCGTTTTCCACTTCCGTCGAAGAGATCGATTCTGACTTTAATGACGTCACCAACTCGAAACTGTTTTTGAGGTTCCAGTAAAACCGCCACTGAATTTGTCACACTGGCTGTTTGATTCAAATCCACAAAATCAGGATCATACAATGTCTCTAATTCAAACGGATGCATGTCGTGTTTGGGAAGGATTAATTCATTGACAAAACGACCCAAGGGTTTGAGGGTAACTTCCACTGGGTAGCAGCCGACTTTTCGATATGTTTTCTGCTTTTTACCGCTTATTTGATCATTTTGTGGCCCGGCACAGTTTTTCCGGTTTACCCTAATACAATGGGAAAATTTTTTAAGAGAAAACGTTTCTGATTCCTGAGAGACTATCTCTTCAAACAATTCTGAAGTTTTTCTGTTTTTGATGATGTTAAACGTTCGAGGACGCAGAGTTTTTGGTTTAGGCTGATTTTCTCTAATGTCTGGCGTTTTGGTGATTGATTTTGGCGAAATTGTTTTTGACACTCCCTCGATTTTATTTGTTTGTTTAGTCGGACGATCATTTGGTCGCTTTTTAAGGTCTTTTGATTTTGTCTGTTTACTATTTTTGCCTGATTCTTTGGTTTTTAATTTTGGTGATGATGATTTTGGTACTTCCTTAACTTTATTTTCTTGTTTGGTCTGATGACCTTTTGGTTGTTTTTCATTCTGGACAATGGGCAGTGCTTTGTCGAACCCTTTTGAATTCATTCGATTTTTACCTGGTTTTTTATAACTGACTGTGGACGGAGATTCTCCAGTTTTACCATCAGTGTTTAACCTTGATCTGAAATATGAAGAGTTGTGGAAAATAAAATTTGATATCACCGAGTCCAATAATTTAAAGGAATAGAACGTCTTAGAACGAACATAGAATTTAATTTCGCTCAAACTTGGCCAATAACAGTATATATCCATCAGCGGACTTATCCGGTCTCATCCGGTCTCATCCGGTCTCACCTCCATAATTCGATAAATCAACAAAATCAAGTAACTAATTATAAAACGCTGAATACATCCATTAAGCGATTTTCAAATCGTGAGACTTAGAAATCCGTTGTAATAATAAGGGGAGGTAACTCTCATACGGGGCAAAAAATCATCGCCCAATTACGCTACTGGAATGATTCCATGTAGCTATAGTCAACAAGTAGAGGGTTGGTCTTAACTTTAAAAGCACCGAATAAGCAGCAAAAAAGTAAGACGCAAAACGCTGCTTTATTTTATATCGTGAACGCATTTCAATTGTTATAATGTTATAAATATTAATACAGAACTTAAAAACACCATGTTGTTGTTACTCAGAGTTTAACGCTATACGATCTTCAGACAACTAACATATATAATTCAGCCTGCGTCCCTACTGAAGTTGGACAAGTTAAAATGTTTAAAAGAATATACATACCCAGTTAAATTATATATAGAGTTGAAATAATAAACACCAAATGAAAACACAATCAAACCAATGAATATCCTTTTCACTGTAAAGAGAAAGTAATGAAAAGTGAAAGACTATTGGTTTAACCAAGATATTGCACTGGAAACAGGTTGGTTAACTGGACCGGATAGATTGAGCGAGCGCCAGTGGACTGGTTGAACCAATTCCACGGGTACCCACCGCCTGAACAAAACATACAATATTTTACAAAAATATATAAATGAGTGAAAAAGCAACTACATATTGAAAATCTGCAAAGCTGTGCCAGCATCTTTTCTAATCTTCAGAAGTACTAGAAATGTACGAAAATCGCAAAAATATCTCAACCTAGAAACTTCATTTGATATTTCTATATATGTCTCAAGAAAAGGCGAGTCGTCATTTCAACTTTCAAACGCGAATAATTCTCAACATACATGGATTTGAAGGCTCAAATTTCAACGTTGGAACACTATCACTGATTAGCTTAGTTAAAAAATCCTGAGACTAAGGTATGGTTGTTAAAACGAATGGCGGTCATATCCCTTTAAAGTTTCTGAGAAATCATATGATATCGCCGACATTTTATAAGATTTTAAAACTATTCTATATTTGCTTTTTTTGATTTTTATTTTTTTCGCTCAGCCAATTCTTGCGAAAAGGTAGGTAAATGACAAGTTAACGTTCGCTTCCAGCAGATGCTGATATCGCAAACTAGGTATAGTTGTTAGTAGTCGCAATAGTTGCTAGTTGGATTGAAGGTAGGATTTACGACAATCGGCTAAGTATACTAAGAGTGCTTGTCACGTGTCACGTATCACGCTAGATCAGCAAGACGTAAGTAAATATCGATTCTGTCGGTTCGTCATTATGGTTTCCATAGAAATGAGATATAAAAACAATCAGAGATATTAAAATTACCTTCAGTCTTCAAAAGTTATAATGTTTTTAAGGCGGTTTAAGAAACTATGGTATTTAAAAACAATTAAATCAATCAACAATATTTAAAGGTGAATGTGTGTCGGCTTCATTAAAAAATCAATCAAAATCTCGTCCAAATTATAGCAAAATCGGGAGTAAAAGTTAGAACGTAGTGGTCTCCTCCAAGAAGAAGTATGATGAGGTGTTTCGCAAAGGGTAAGCATGTTCTGTTTCGCGCACGCTACTACTATAATGGTAAAATCATGCCTGATCAAACAAAACCTAAAGTAAACCCTTTCTCTATCATTGTACAACTTCACTAAGATTAAAAAATGATTGGGATTTTCAATTGAAATAATTGCAAAACCAATCATATTTTTAACATTTTCTACCCTTTACTCTTTTATTGATCCAACCCTTCATTATGATCTGACACCAGACGTGACGTCATGAATAAATCTGTCTTGGTATGCGAAGTTTAAAGGAAAAGAAATATGTATAGATTCAATATGTTAAAAAGATGGTTAATATAAATTTTCTGGCGCTTGATCACCATCATAATAAGTAGAAGATTTTGTGCATATGCAAAAGAATTCGTCGATTTCGTCATACTTCGACGTATAGCAGTATGTCTCAGCGTGCTATAAATCCCTCCAAAACACCAATTGAAATCTCCCCTTTTTTTCTCATACCAGTTAATCATGCATCATAATCCCTAGATTGGTTTTATCTTTCCAGAACTTACTCTACTCCCTTATCTGTTAGAATATTCTCTTATCTTTTAGAATACCCTCTTATCTCCCTTTCTATCTTTTAGAATACCCTCTTATCTCCCTTTCTATCTTAGAATATAATGGATGACTAGAAGACGTTGATATTTGATATTCTTTTTTATTAAAGGTACGGACTGTTACTCCATCCTAGTTTATATCTAGCAGATCGCTTTATTTCTGACCTTGGCCAGTGCTATACATAGGAAGATATGAACTTCCTCACTACAATGTCAAACGTTGGTTTATGCTGACCAAAACGTCATACATTTAGTTTGACAAAACCTGTGAACGAATGGTATATCAAGGTCGCACGGTCGATAATACAAGTTTTCTATAAATTTTCGAAACCCTCTCTATAAATTAATATATACGCCATGAATACACAAAGAAAAAAAAAGATTGTTCAGCGTATGCAAGCTTTAAGAGGTTTTTAAATACACCGGATAACACCGACTATATCGGTAACTAGGCCTTTATATTCAGCTCATGCAAAATATTTACTCAATAATCTCTTTCATTAAGTTATTTCATTCTCCACGCCTATAAATATAACAATCAATGAAATCAATGAATAAAGCTCATAACCGAGTAAAGAAATCTTGAGAAAGAGAAATTCGAGTCATTTAATACCTGCATGAGATATAAATTTGGTCTGGCCTTTCAATTTCAAGATTAGTAATGCTGAAACTTGTTAGGAAAGATTTGAATGAACTTTTGAAGTGATAATTACATACCACATATACAAGACAATATCTATAATATTGTGTATTAAGAGGGCTTACATTTCACTTCAAGATAACAAGGCAAGGGGGGGGGGGGGGGGGGGGGGAAGGGGGTATGGTCTTACCACTAAATATGTTACTGATGATGTTAACTTAGCATGTGGGAGTCATATTAGACTTCAAATAAGATAGTAATAATTTGCTTGATATAGTCCTTCATGGTGTTGCACATAGTGTGTATTTGTTAATGCATTATTTTGTTATGATGTTGCTTTTCTTTTTTTCAAACATGTTTATGTATACACTATATTTTTTTGTATAACTATTAATTGATGTCAGTGTGTAATATTTGTATTACTTATTAATAGTTATTATTATGTATTATCTTGTATCATGATATCATTTTGTATTATCTTGTATCATGATGTATGCTGCCCAAAAAGGCGAACAATACATTAATATCTATCTATCTGATACAGTCTTGTGTTTGCGATTGTTAGATTAAGTTGAAACTTGTTTTGGGTGTATAACCTTATTCTCTGGACCAGTGGTTTGACCGACTGACTTGACGAAAAACACTTAGTATCATATAATTGTAAAAATGGTGCACCTGTCCATTAAAGCCCGAATGAGCCTAAAATCTTATTAAAGAAAAAATCTAAGTGGGGGGAAGCTGGACGTGCGAATTTATATTTTTTTTTAATTTGTAAACAATATTTTATTCATTGGATGAAAAGGGTTGAGGTACATGTTTTCGTCGTTTTAGATATGCAATACGAATATCTACCCCAATATATCTTCTATGCTTTGAAAAACAATGTATATCTACCACAGGGCCAATCCCATTACCACCCCACCCTCCTATGACCGATTAATCTTTTTTCAACATCGTTTATTTGACAAATATTGATTTACTAGGTCAGTCGGCCGACCTTTATGTTAAGTACTGTATTTTCAACCTTACATCTTTCCATCAGTATCGGGTTACAGTAGTAATAGTATATGTAGTGTATAATTTATACGGACTATTTTAATAGGTGGGACAATATTCTAGCGTCCCAGCTCCCGTATATATATTAAGACTTCTTTTCATATATCAACTACTTTATTTGTTCTTCTTAACTAGTAGGTTAAGATTCAAATATAAATACGAGGTGTAAGATAGAAAATAACTGGAACTGTGAAACTCTTTTTCGTTCCACACATATTTATATAATCAAAATAGAAGAAGGCACTTGTTAGTTGAAGAAAACCTCTGAAATTCTTAAAGGGTTCCTTCAATTCCACTAAAACTAAGCGTTTTGTGACGTCACTATTCTCGAAGTTCTTATGTGATAAAGCATATTTTTAGTAGAATTGCAAGACTCAAAAACGTCTGACTGAAAATTGATATGGTGCTAAGTAATGCTATCAGTGTCACCGATACACATAAAAAATATAGAAACCTCTTTATAATCCCTTTAAACTGAACATGTGTGTCTGGCATTTTAAAACGTATGGTATATATAAGAATACTTATTCCACTCTTCTCCACCTCATGAATTGAAGTCCCAGTCCCATGTTCAGCACCTGTCTTGGTCCATTACTGCACATTGTGTTCTGACTTGATTTAACGGGTTTTCTTCAATCACACCCCTATCCCATTGCTTACTCTTCAAGGCGTTGCCGGTCTTCAAAATAATAAGATTTTGATACTTTGTAATAATATTCTAAACATGAATATAGGAGATATTTCCTACCTTTTTCCATCATCGATTATTTCCAATACAATTTCCTGTCGCCGTTTGTACGCGCTATAATAGTTGATATCACTATCTATTTTATGTTTGTAATACTTTACCTTTTCTATAATCATTTCATTACTACAATACAACAGAATCGCCTGTTAGATTGAGTCGTCGGGTTATTATGGAAGTCGGTTGAGGCCATATCTACTCTCGACGTTTTCTTCAAAATGGTTTGGGCCGTGTGCGTGACATGAGAAGGCGTTGAGGCAAGAAGTCGAAGAAAAAGGCAGAGAAAAATGCCAGTAAACTGCCAAAACAACAAAGGAGATATTTCTTGACACACATTGATTTGGAGATTCAATTTTTTTATGCTAAGCTGTGAACACTATTACTGATAGGGGCGATACAGGTATGTTTTTGCCCCAAAATATATCTGAATGCACCAATCAATTCGATTTTTGAAAACTTTTCTTGGATGAGAAAGCTCTCAGACGCCCAATGAGAGGCTTGTACCTACGCGCTCTGCATTTTCAATGTGAACCAATTTACCCAGACACCCAGTCTGTCTTGGGAAGCTCATGTTGCCACTGAATAAAATGGAGAGGAAGAAGGACATTTTCGTCGCCTAATAGAGGCGAGAAGAGGATAGTATATATGGCCACAACCAGCTTCCATAGACTTTGATTATAGAAAGCTCACAAAACTATGAGTTAGTCTAATTGCCCGAACAAAGCGTAGGGTTACAGTTATGATAGTATCCTGTTAAACGTCCTGTTACCTGGGATCTAAAATGCAGGAAATAAGCCTTTTATTTTTAGAATTTTCCCCCCTTGGTTACTCCTACCTTCTGATTTTTCAACCCGGTTTACCCAATCGTTCGGAATAGAAAATAAACTGAGCTACAGGCTGTGCACGATCCCTCGACAGTTGAAAATCGAAGAAGAGAAGGCTAATGCCACTGTCCTGGTACAATTACCTTCATTGCACCCTGCACAAATTTCTTCAAAAAATAAATAAAATACCAAACCATCGAATACAGCTTCATGGAATTATTTTATGACTATGCAAACACATATTACGTTGGAAAAAGAAACAGTTTATATCAGATCCCATGCGTTTATCTTCCACTTGGCATATTAATATGTTCTCTTTTCATCGTTTATAACAAAAATTAAAAATGCTGAAGACAATTATACGTGAAAAGCAATTTTTAAACATTTGAACATGACACAATTTCTAAAATACGCGAGGATTCCGTGCTAGTAGTCATTAAAGGGAGTTAATTATATTTATGAGAATCGGGCCGATGTATCGCGATTATTTTTTTCTTCCGCAATGCATCGATAAGAAGGAACGAATCGCGGTTCATCGATTCAACGGTGAATCGTTGCAGCCCTTGGCGTCGCCGGTCTTCATTAGCCCACATGGTGTAGAATAGTAGGACGTAAAACTCCATTCATTTCATTTAGAATAGATTCGAAAAAAAATCCTAAATTTTCTGAAGATTTGTACAAACAATTATAAAGCCAAACACCAAAACTAGGTAAACTGCTTAATTAACAAATAGTACTCTCCGCTTTAAATTAATCCTTTTAAAACAAATTTATTTTGATCAAATTAATATATAAATAACATGCTTTAGAAATATTTTCAGGTATAATTACGACGTTAATGATACTGAAAATCTTTTACAAAAAGGCGGTATGCCCCTATTTTAACAATGTGTTCGGACAGAACAATAAATCAATAGTATAAAATGTCATCGGATACTTTATATATAGCCAGGTTAGATAACACCTAATCCATTGTAACCGACAGAAAAAAGATTATAGATGGATAAAAATCTTCAATGTCATCTTACTTTCAGTCACACATCAAACGTTAGGCTTACGAAGTTACGGTAGGCCAATAATCGCCGTTAAGATCGCCAGGGATCAAGAATGTCTTTAGACAAGTGCACAAAGCCCATAGATTTTATTATAATATAGATCTATAACATACAAGGCAAAAGTCCACCCCATTTATAGAAGAAGTGGTAAAGGTCCATTTTGTTTCAATAGAGCTTTAAAGCACTTGGTAAAGGTCCATCCCATTTCAATAGAGCTCTAAAGTATGCGGTAAAGGTCCATCCCTTTTCGATAGAGCTATAAAGTATGCGGTAAAGGTCCATCCCATTTCGATAGAGCTCTAAAGTATGCGGTAAAGGTCCATCCCATTTCAATAGAGCTCTAAAGTATGCGGTAAAGGTCCATCCCATTTCGATAGAGCTCTAAAGTATGCGGTAAAGGTCCATCCCATTTCAATAGAGCTCTAAAGTATGCGGTAAAGGTCCATCCCATTTCGATAGAGCTCTAAAGTATGCGGTAAAGGTCCATCCCATTTCAATAGAGCTCTAAAGTATGCGATAAAGGTCCATCCCATTTCAATAGAGCTCTAAAGTATGCGGTAAAGGTCCACCCCATTTCAATAGAGCTCTAAAGTATGCGGTAAAGGACCATCCCATTTCAATAGAGCTTTAAAGTATGCGGTAAAGGTCCATCCCATTTCAATAGAGCTCTAAAGTATGCGGTAAAGGTCCACCCCATTTCAATAGAGCTTTAAAGTATGCGGTAAAGGTCCATCCCATTTCAATAGAGCTCTAAAGTATGCGGTAAAGGTCCATCCCATTTCAATAGAGCTCTAAAGTATGCGGTAAAGGTCCATCCCATTTCAATAGAGCTTTAAAGTATGCGGTAAAGGTCCATCCCATTATAATAGAGCTCTAAAGTATGCGGTAAAGGTCCATCCCATTTCAATAGAGCTTTAAAGTATGCAGTAAAGGTCCATCCCATTTCAACAGAGCTCTAAAGTATGCGGTAAAGGTCCATCCCATTTCAATAGAGCTCTAAAGTATGCGGTAAAGGTCCATCCCATTTCAATAGAGCTATAAAGTACGTTGTGAAATGCTTATGTCAGAGCAGTAATGAGCGCTATACTAAGGTAAATGATTATTCACATCTAACCGTTGGTTGGACAATTCCATTTTATCATCATTAGAGACTAATAACTGCTCTTTGCAGACCATATGTCACCATTCGATATATCCAATCAGGAATCTCGTATTATTTGGAGATAAAGTAAATAAGTAAGATAAAATGGCGGCCCTTATTGAATCATCGGAAACTGTTGCAGATTCGCACCAACCCCCTTGTCGATCAGTGATCCATGTGAAAATTTACAGAAAGAGACTTTCCAGTGACGCCTATCTCAATTAAAACAAGTAACAAAAAACATAAAACACTTACTATTTCGTTTTATTAATATGAACCATTTATTTGCAAATTTAAGTACAATTCCTATCAATCTTGTGGAGAACGGTCTGTGGCTCACCATCATCAACAAATTCTGTTTGTTTCGAGTCATACAGAGTACACGCCTCTCGAAATTGGGCAGTTACACATTTTTTATTCTGGGCACAAAGTTTTTTGCACATATCTACGCTTCGGATAGAAAGGAATTCGAATTGAAGAATTGGAAGACCGTAATTTCGACAGAATTCAAAAGCTCTCAACCAATCTGTACATCCCACGGTTGTGTTACATCTCCTCTCACACTCTGTTTCATTCTCACGGCCAATATAAATTCTATTGAAATTAATTGAAACTCCAGTCACCGTTGCATTCTCGAACATACAGGGGCCTGAAAAAATGTTAAATTATCAGATTAGGATCGTCACTAGGATATATACATATATATTTAAATTAGTTATAATTACTGTTTAGCTGACGAATTGTCTGCCTGAAACACAAGGCTAAATACTTTGACAGGCAACAAATATCATTCTGGGTTTCATAGACTTACATATCAATACTAATAGATAATGGTCGTTTGGGAGAATCCACTTAAAGGAGCATTCCGCAAATTTATGAAGAAGATATGTGTCCCTTAACGTATCTGAAAGTTTTAACTAAATAATCCAGTCATTAATTTTAAAAAAAAGTTCGTTATACTTTTTTGGAAACTGTTAGAAAACTACTCTACGGATTTAAGTAAAAAAAAACCTAATTGTAGAGAAATATATCTCCTACGTATTCGAAAGGTTTCAACTAATACTAGACCTGATTGACAGATCTGTTCAGCTTCCGACGAACGAATGCCCTGCAATTACCGAAAACTCAACTCAAAAGCTGTAAATATCGAGCCATTATAAAGCCAAACACCAAAACTAGGTCAATCTGCCCCATGCAATATACCAAGTTTTACTTAAACCGTTCTATCCAATAGTTTACTGCAAGTGCGAGATTTGTTAAGTTTCCGCAAATATTACGATTGAGTTATGTAATATATAATGTATAACTACTATACCTGGTCCACTTGGTCCACAATTCAAACCATTTCCCTGTAATTCAGACCCCTCTGGACACGAACAGTTATAACTACCAGGTTCATTTTGACATTTATATTCACACGATCCATTATTGGTTGCACATTCATCTATATCTGAAGAAAACAGCAGAAAGATTACTAGGGCTGTAAACAGAACCGAGAGTGGCCCGAAGTACCCTTGTCAATTCACTAATGAGGCCTTTTCTTGAACTTTGAGTCTTTTGTAACTCTATAAGATTTCCAGGTTTTCTGTAGATAAATTGACCAGACTCAAAAAAAAAAAAAAAAATTAAGAAAATAAGAAAAACTAGAGCCACACGTGGCACAGAGTGGAACTTTGCAAATGTAGCAAATTGCAAAAGACCTTGAAAAATTCAACCTTCGACGATAATTAGTTCAAGTGCAATAACAGTCTAAAGTTGAGAAATTTTCATTTTTTAGAAGATTCTAATACCGGAAATAGACGTCAGACCTCGCAAATGAAAATATCAGCAGATAGCCACGGTCAATGACCTTTGATCTTGTAAAGGAGAAGGTCTAAAAGGTCGAGATCAAGAGATATACGCCATCAAAATTTCAAATTGCACACGACTATAAAACCGGAAGTATAAATAAATAGCCAATACCAATGACGTTTGATCCTACAAAGGTCAAGGTCAACAAAGGTCAAGGTCGAAAATTGACAAATTTGAATTTCCAAAACCTGTTCCTTTTTTTGAACTATGAAGCGGAAACAATCGAAATTCTAGTGGCTCAAACATGAGATAATTGTATGCAAAGTTCCATTTTGAACAAATGTATACTTTGCGAGTTATGCTCCTGGCTAAAAATGTCAATGATGAGTAATATAACACGGATGTGCCCCGCCCACCTCAATTTTTTTGCATAGGTTAAATGATATTCAAAATGCTATGTTATGTTCCAAATGTCAAGCTTCAACATAATACAGGTCAAAAAACATAGGTCAACAAAAGTCAACAAAGGTCAAAATCGAAAAAAGAAAATATCCAAATGTAAAAAACTCGTTCCTTTATTGGAACTATAAAGCTGAAACAACTGAGCTGTTAACACAAACTGGCCAAAAGGATGAGGTAATTGTGTGTAAAGTCCCTTTTTGAACAAACGCATTCCATGCGAGTTATGCCCCTGCCTCTAAATGTATACAATTAGTAATTCAACCCGGATGTGCCACGCCCACATAAGGTTTTTTGTCATAGGTGAATTCATATTAAAATTGTCTAGTTGTATTCCAAATATCAAGGTTCTACATCAAATAGATCATAAGATATACATACACCAAGTTCAAAAAGACGCAAATATTTTAAACAAAACTCTAAAATTTGAAAATATCACGAATTTCAATTTTGCTTTAAAATAACGATTGTTATATATCTATGTAAAGGGCATGAGAAGCACATTAGGAAACCGAAAAAATTAACCCTTTAGGTTAATTAGGTCACGTGCTAGAGCAGTTGAAAGTTACGAATTTGGCTTTTTACAGTTAGATATAAAACCGGAAATACATGTCGGAGGTCAAAGGTCAAAGTATCAAATGATAGCCAAGGTCAAGTTGGAAAACAATTTAATCGGAAGTTGCAAAAAAGCAAAAGCGAAATTCAAAATTTGGCTCCAAATGTTTTTTGCGCAATCGATTGCGGAATACATTCACATCAAATTTGAGCATATCAACATCTACCCTGAGGCCCCATTTTGAGTTTGACAAAAGTGTGTTTTTTCAATATGGATTTGCTTCAAGTAGATTTGAAATTCAGACGCTTTCCTGTTTAAAAGCGGAAATGACATACAAAATTTGACTGTACCATATTATTAACATAAATGAACTTTCTATGCATTTAAAATTTCAGATCAATCGATGCAATAGTAAAACAATTTGATCGAAAAAAGTGAGCTACGAATTTTCGAATTTCGCAATTTTTCAAGTCAGAAATTACAGGTAGATTATAAAAATGAAAACCCGAAGTAAATCGAAGCAGAAATGCGCCTTCTAAAGCCGATTTTCACCACTTCCGGTTTTGCAAAAATGTTCCAATATATATTTAAGGAACACGTTGACACTACAGAAGGTCTAGAGAAGTTGAATGGTTGCTGCAACTACTGCAGTCTAAGCTCAGGAAGGTGTGTAAATTTCGAAAAAAAAAAAAAAAAAGAATTGACAATTCCCACAATATATAATAACAAAATGTAAAAATGTCTTCCATTGTCTAATTGATAATAGAGATAAGGAGATAGAACCCTTACCCTGGCAGGAAAATACCGAGCCATTCGATGTACAATCGATATCCAGACTCATTTTATATCCCTTTTTACACTGACATCGCTTGGTTTTATTATTCTCTCCTGAACACATCGCATTGGCTGGAAGTTCACCATGACAAACTAAAATGAATAAATATATAATCAGCTTATAATGTAGGTTTGAGAATGAACAATGATTAAATAGGTAAATACTGTGAGCTGCGTCATAATAATT